ACATGTACATATTACTGGGATAGAAGACATTGCAAACGAAATTTGTAAAATAATGACAAAAAAGTTTTAAGCAATAACCATAATCTTTTCTTTTATCAGGAAAAGACCACCAAAAGCCACCTTCCAAGATGAATGACGAGACACAATTGAAATGTAAGTAGGTTCAATAAATTATACTTTGATCAAAAAGCTCTTTATTATTATTTTTTTGATTTATTCACTGCAATACAAAACAGTTAATCCCAAAACTACAGGAAGCAAATGGAGAGCTTATAATTAAAGAGAGGTTTTATAATTTTCGTTCTTGGAGAAGACAGAGCCTTCCGTGATATGTATGTGAATATAAACAATTTGGTTGGTGCAACTGAGACGTAAATTTCCCATTGTGTTAAGATACATGGCATGATAAGTTCATTCAGGTGTCAGTGCAAGATAAAGTTAGTGGTGGTTTAAGACCATTCCAGTAAGAATTCATATGATAACCAGTGCTATGCCATGACTACAGCTGTATATTGCATTCACATTCGACATATTAACATTCCATAAAACATGCCTACAGTTGCATTATATGACATATCCACTGACTTTTCCTGTTTTGTAGCTTCTCAGAGCTCTGAAGTACAAGAAATCTTGGGCTTCATCCAAACCATATCTCCTGTGAAGACGGCCACGTTTTCCCCAACCAAATATTTCAACTGCAATATTCAAAGAAGTGACAGAGTGGTTAGGGCAGTCTGTTTCAACCCAGCAAAGAGACCCCTGCTAGAAAAGTACCAGAAAGGAAGAACAGCTGTCAGACTCCACAACATAACATCTTCCAACAAGGATGACATCGAAAGCATCATCATCCAAAACAACACAACTGTACAACCTGTGGTGGTACCATTTGTCTACCAAGATGCTGCGACATCATCTTCCTTACCAAGTCTCTCATCTTTACAAGAGGTATCAAAAGAGCAATTGGTTGACGTAAAGGCAAAGGTATTCAGCATCACTGCGGTCAAAACGATTAACAGTCGTTATGGCTACGCTCTACAAAGACAAGAAGTCATTCTGGTTGACCACACCACCTCGATAAAACTCATACTCTGGCAGGAACATTGTAACAAACTAGAAGATCAGAAGGCCTATGCCTTACAGAATCTAAGACTCAAAGAGTCCAATGGATCGCGATATCTCAACACCCTAAAGTCAGAGCAGTTTCTTTTCAAAGAGATCCCATCTTTCACACAAGACTTGGCACAAGTCACAACAGAAATAGAATCACTCACACAGAGGAAAGTGTCAGGTAAAATAATTGGTGTCCAACACGCCTCAAAAAGTCTTTCCTGCACGTCATGCAAAAAGAAGGTTACAGTGAAATCGAATGGAAAGATCGCAAATTGTCAGTCCTGCAAGATGATGATGAGAGTAACCTCTTGTCAACCTCAGTGGTTTTTGAAAGTGCTTTTTCAGAACACTCAAAACATTAATGACAAACTTGCACTTACACTCTTTCATCACGAGGTCGATAAACTGGCTTCATTTTTACCCGATGTTAACCTCACATCATATCAGAGGAAGACTTCATTTTCCATCTCCTAGAAAATGAATCCAGCTTCTGCATTACTTATGACACTGCCTCTAATAAGCTGATAGAAGTTTCACTTGAGGCTATTTCAGAAATATTATTGAAATGTTGACTTTGGAAATGAGCAGTTTGAACCCTTTAAAAGGCTTCTGCATTACTTATGACACTGCCTCTCATAAGCTGATAGAAGTTCCACTTGAGGCTCTTTGAGAAATATTATTTAAATGTTGACTTTGGAAATAAGCAGTTTGAACCCATCAAAAAGCTCAATGTTATCAAACTTTAATAGGAAAAGGACCTATTTTCAATTCAGAATGTTCAGTTCAGTTACAGAAGTAACAGTTGATGTTTTTTATTATGATAACTATTTTTAAAAAGAAATATACATGTTCCTGTTCTTTTTTCATAATATTCTTTATTATGATAACTATTCTTTATTATGACACTGCCTCTCATAAGCTGATAGAAGTTTCACTTGAGGCTATTTGACAAGTATTGAATGTCGACTTTCGAAATGAGCAGTTTGAACCTTTAAAAAAGCTCAATGGTATCAAACTTTAATAGAAAAAGGACCTATTTTCAATTCAGAATGTTCAGTTCAGTTACAGAAGTAACAGTTGATGTTTTTTATTATGATAATTATTTTTAAAAAGAAATATACATGTTCCTGCTGTTTTTTCATAATTAATTTCCTTTATTATAACTATTTCTAAATAGAAAAACACATTTTATCATCCCCGTACAACACAGAAAATGTGGTGTTAGATCTATAAATACATGTTATGAAAGCTTTACAGTTTCTCTTTCATTTTATACTAAATTTCAGAAGTAGTTCACATTTTCAAAATTGTTTAATAACATAGATTTAAATAAAATTAATGCTTACATTTAAACACGTTTTCAACTATTCTCTTACTACTTACTAACACTTAACTACCACACCAACTACAGTAAAACTTGTATATGTACACGCCCGATGGACTGCGACGACTGCCTCCTTAAAAACCATACGATATGACTAGCCTTTAAAAAGTTTTCGTACACAGAGTAAATACAGGTTTCACAATACGCCATAACCCTTTATTTGATTTGAAACCATATATAATGCACTTATGAATTTCATAGAAGAAAAAAATATCAACTGTGGAACTAAACTTGTGGGATTAGGGAGTGATGGCGCTTCTGTCATGATGGGGCGTCACAGTGGTGTGGGTGTACAACTGAATTCAGTAGCTCCATTTTTGGTTCATACTCATTGTGTGGCTCATAGACTTGCGTTATGCACTTCACAAGCTGCTAAATCAGTCAAGTTGTTGGATGAATACCAAACACTGTTAACAAACCTTTTTAACTTTTACTCAAACTTAGCTGTAAGGTATAATAAGCTACGTGAAATTCAAAGCATTTTAGAATTGAAACCAGTAACCTTAAAAGTTGCTGCTTCAACTAGTTGGCTGTCTCTCCACAATGCTGTTGATGCAATCTACAAGTGTTGGCCTGCACTTGTAGACTGTCTGGATCATCAAGCTGCTGAAGATAATAATGAAAACGCTGCAAAAGCCAAAGGATACTTGAAGCAAGTGCAGCAATACAAATTTGTTGCAGCAACTTGCATGATGAAAGATGTTCTTCCAACATTAACAAAGCTTAGTGTGTTTTTCCAAAAAGAATCTGTTGGTCTTGCATCTGTGCCAGCCATGGTATCATCTACAATTACTACATTGCAGGCCCTTAGAGATGACTTAAATGGCGATCTTGCAAACCTGCCAAGCCTAAAGGAACTTAATCAGGGAGTACTTGCAGATGGTTTGTATCATGAGAAGGAACTTCAGCAGGCAGGTGATAATGCAAGACGATCGTTCATTGCTGCTGGTGACACATTTCTAGCTAATTTAATTCAAAACCTTAACGAGAGGTTCCCAAAGGAGACACTAGACATCTGCAAAGCCCTTGACCTTGTAGTTAACCCTCAATAACTCCCAGAGAGTAGTGTAGCTATAGCAGCTCATGGAGCAGATGCTTTGAACAAGCTTATTGCGCACTATGGTCAGCCAAAGACTACAAGTGGCAACAGTAACATTGATCCACTGATTGACCCAGATGTCACAAGAGCAGACTACCTGTAGTGTTTAGGCTATTGAGACATTTCGTGCCGCATACATGGTGTAATGTAG